ATCACTATTACGGTATTTTTGCTCATACTTGAATACTTTTACATGTTGTCTCACATTGACTGTTTCTACAGACATGACTGGTACCTTAAATCTGACTTATAATATATTTTTAAATAAATTCATATTTAGTAACTATGTATTTTAATATTGAATATTATATATTTTTATATAATATACATATTAATCATATATATTATTTCAATTAATTTAGTGTAGTTTGATCTGTGAAATATAAAATAAATAATAATTTATATTCTAAATAAAATATTTTTAATTCAATGTATTTATATTTTTACATAAAAATATTTTGTTGCTTAAAACTATAGCTCATACTTAGGGTTAGTGATTTCAATAAACTAATCCACAGTACTTTCACATGTACAGTAATTCGTCTCATACTGGTTGTTTGTACAAACATGAATAATTCCTTAAATCTGACTTATAGTTTCACATTACGCAATAAAATGGGTAAAAAGAGAGACTTTAGCCATATGTAGCGACCAGGGGCCGGTTGCATAAACTGCTTACAGTAGTCTTCAAAAGTTAGCCATCTAATTTGTTTTCTTCTAGACTTGTCATAACTGTTTAATGCCAGTTACAAAAATGTCGATTGGCCCAATTTGAATCAGAATAGTGAGACAGAAACGCATAGCAACACCCTAGGAACCATCCACAACACCCTAGCATTACTGCAGTGAGTTTTGCATGGACAGGTGCCACTCACATTTCACCCAGAAAAATGTAAAACTCTAGTGGTTGTTTTGTCGTCCTTTTTGAATTCATGCCATAATCAGGTTGTGTTGTGAGCTATAAAGCGTATTAGTGTTGCTATGGTGGTTTCTAAGGGCTTGAGTCCCACACTGTCTCACGGTCATGAAAACAGCTCTCCACAGGAGTCTACACTTGCATCTATCTGTATGTGTGTGTGAGAGAGAGAGATCAGTATTCAGGTTGTGTCTCCTACCTTCCTACTGTGTGAACAGAACACAGCAGAGCAAATCTCAGAGTTTCCATCTCGCTGTGACATACCTGAAGAAATGACAGCAAAGTTTTTATCTGTTCCAAGGCTGATGTATAACAGGCTGCTGCTATAGAAACAGAGCCGACAGAAATGAATAAAGCTACAGACGAAGAGCTACATTTCTCACGGGGTGCTTTGCATAACCATGGTATTATCATGTTATTTCATAATCATGGTGTTCTTAGTATTTTGGAGTACACTGTAAATGCCATTATATTTGAATAATATATAGAATATATTGAATATATCCAAAACTGTACATATATATGAAAAGTTTATTTGCAAAAACCGATAACTCCGTTTTTTTTTTAATTTTCAAAAATCATGCTTTTTATTATGTTATCATGTTTTATTGTGTTAGTCAGCTGTATTTTTTGTTATTTTTACTTAATCAAAATAACCAAAATGCAGTTTGATTGAGATTAATTGGAATGCACAATGAAAAAACAAGATTTTTTAAAATTGTTAAAAACTGAGTTATCTGTTTTTGCAAATGAACTCCTAATATATATATATATTTGTAAATAAATAAATTTGTAAATAAATAAATATATATTTACAAATGTATTTATTTACAAATGTATAAATATATTTTCATTTTATTTGGAACATTCTTAATGCTTTAAATTGCAAAGGTTTAAATTATTATTTTTTTTTTTATTTAAACCTTTGCCATTTAAAGCATTAAGAATGTTCCAAACAATATGAAAATATATTTATAAATTTGTAAATTATTTTTATTTTTGTGACATTTGTGTAATTTAAAGGAATATTTTGCCCACTAATGATTTATGATATATAATGATATATATATATATTTTTTATGTATATTAAGATTAAATACACTTCACACCTCGCTTTTCAGACCGATTAGTTTTGTAAAAATCGACGCGTTTCAGAAAGGCGGGGCATAGAGGAGAAACAATAATGTACAGTATGTGGAAAATAATGTGTTTTTTTTTACTTTAAACCGCATAAACACATTTCATTACACCAAATACACAAAATAATGTTCTTTTTAGCAGCATCATATGACCCCTTTAAAGGAATATTTTGCCCACTAATGATTTATGATATATAATGATATATATATATTTTTTAATGTCATATTAAGATTAAATATACTTCAAAAGTCTGTAGTCTTCTCTGTGCAGATGAAATCAACAAGCAGATGAAGAGCCAAGTGACTTTTGACCCTCTTCATGTTAAGCTTGACCATAGAAATGACCACTTGAATCTCAAGATTACAAAAAGAAACAACAACCCTGTATAACCTATGAGCTAATCTCACAGAGACCACCCAAAATGACCTTTGAATTTGACCAGAGGGTGTTCTCAGTGTCTGCAGTGTAATATATGCAGTTATTGTCTATAAAACCACATATACACACGTACAGTGTGATGGTAATGGCTTTAGCATGACTAGTAAATATGATGAACATACATTGTGGCACATTCAGGAGACGAGGAGGGGCTTCCTAACGCATTCTTTCCACATCTATACACACACACACTCAAACACATACACTTTCCTTACAGGCAGCAGTGTTTGATCCAGCAGGTATTTCCTTGGGAGACCCTTCACCCCCCTCTCCCCTTTTCCTTTCATTCTACTTACCAGAAAAACAAGTCTGTCCGTCTCTCTCTCTCTCTCTCTCTCTCCTTTTTAAAGCCCAGCACAGTCCGTCAGCCTCAGTTGAAGGCATTATCCTTGCGTCTTAATACACAGCCATAGAGCTGCTTTTGTTCCATTTAAGCCGCTAATTGTGTGTCTCTCAGAGGGTGTGTGAGAGAACGAGTGAATGTGAGTGAGAGCGAAGACTCCCGAGGTTAGTTTTGGGCTCAGCATATAGTTTTTACATTTTGCTCTGATATATACACAACTAACTGACTGAATATCCTCACTTTTTCTGCCCAGCATATTCTGATTTATAGTACACGGTGAAAGGAACAGGTTAATGTCATTTTACTAACAAAACTTCACTAACAATCTAGTTGTTTATACTCTTTTGTAAATGTAACACTTGTCTAAAAAAATGTTTTTGATATTTTTGTCATGTACTGTGGTAATACCATGGTGTTTTTGAAGTACCTTGCAGTACCATATATATACAATTGTACATCATTTTCATTACCATGGTAAAAAGTACCATAGTATTACCATCTCATACCATTACTTTAGCATGGTATTTGAAGTATCACATAAATTGCGTTGTACATGATTGTGGTAATCATTCAGTACCATGGTAAACGGTGTATGCATGGTACTTTGGGAACCAATGTTATTTTAGTATTTTTTATATACTTTTATAGTATTTGTTAATATTGTGAATTGTCTTTTATTTTTAGATTTTCATTTTAATTGTAGTTTTATGTGCTTTTGTCTTTTTAGTAGTTTTGTATATTTCTATTTAGCTCTAATTTATTTTTATTTCCATTTAAGTTTTAATAATTGTTTAGCAAGTTTTAGTACTTAAACTTATTTCAATTAGATGTCAAAGCAACATTTCTAATTTAGTTTGTTTTTTTCATCTAAGTTGTTTTAACTAATATTAATATTTTATTTTATTTCAGCTTTATTTCAGTTAACTAGCTTTAGTTAACAATAACAGCACTGATTGGAGCCACAGCATGTTACTTCTTTGTAAGGGATGTTGTGCTGAGAACCATGGGAAGGGTCCATGAAGGAATTTCCTTTTTCTTAAATCGAGTCTCATTGTGTGTGTGTGTGTGTGTGTGTGTGTTTCAATGTAACCAAGTTCAGCAGTCGTTCCTGCAGTGTTTTCCTCCCTCTTTTTAACCGACATGGCCTGAATTTGAGGGAAATACCATTTTCTCCAGTTTGATGGCAAAGTGCCACCCCTGCAGCTGCTGATGAATGGACTCTTCCACTTCAAGCTCTGTAGAGCTCAGGTCTGCAGCAGGACACACATCTATTCTTCTGAGTCGGTTTCTCCCTTCGGCCCACAATCCGTCAGTTTGTTTCCCAGCTGCGGAGCAGGTAAATGGGCCGTGCTGCTCCGGGATCCTTCCTGTCTCACTGTGATATCAGAGAGGGAAAATTTACGAGCCTTCTGGAGCTGTTCGGCCTTGTCTCATTCCAAACTGGAATGCTCTAAACATCACATCAGACGCAACCAAACACACACGCTGATACGCCACAGCTGTATTTATTCACAATGGTATTTTCCCAGAACATAATGTGTGCTGCTAACCTCTTTGCACATTCTTCGCTGGTGATTTCAGGCCTTCGTTTGGAAGTGGTGTTATCATGCTGATCAGAGTGTGTTTATGTGTGTGTCGGAGCTGCTGACGGGGTGATTGTGTGATTGAGTGCCTTATCATTTCAGACGTTTTGGCTGCAGATGCTGTGTGGGAGTGTGCAACTGCAAGAAACGTTTAACTGTTTGTTATGATTCAAAAATGCAAATAGGTAAGGCAGATGCT